AGTTTCAAATTGATCCCTTCAATGGTTAGTTGAGAACAATAAAGATCTTATAATGTTCGTACAGTAAGCATACTGCGATCGTAGCTTAACGTAGGATTAAGCACGATTGATGTGCGATGACCAGTTTTGATGTTTGAACAGACTGAATGGGGAAACGTTCCGAAAATATACTTCGAATCGACCGAAAATAAATATTTGTCGTTTTGTTGAATCACAAAAAACGAATGAGTCAAAAAATGATTCACGCTGCATTCATTCTTTGTCGAAAAGTAATCACTTCATGACAGCTGATGACAGTTTGATTCTATAAAGTATTTACTCGTTGGTCACTCTGACAAAGTACTGACGGCGATTTTGGATGGAGATTCAGCTGAACAATTCAATGATAACGATTGTGCAGGTACACACCTGTGTCAATAGATTTTAAGAGCGATTGAATGCGTGTAAACAATCTGGATTAGAGTATTTTTGCTATCCAAACACATTTTACCCAATTTTCGTATAGAGCAAAATCTACTTTTAAATATTGTCTGAGTGTCGTTATCAGATTCAATGATTTGTCATCAGTGTTAACGAGGAATTTGTGAACATGAAATCATTTGAAATGTTTGGAAATCACTTGAAAATTTGATACGCACCTTCCTATTCAAGGCATTGACTGACTGCATATGATCAGAGGCATGTTTTGTGGGAACTTTGAGGAGTTGATCGATTCTTTGACCAAATTTTCAGTTGTTTTACAGTGTTATTTCGGGTCTGATTTAGTTGACTTGAAAGTTAGTGAGGGAATCGTGATGAAATTGTCATCCTTGTTTGTTGTCCTTCAGTGCCAGTCATTGAGTTAGTTGGTGAGGTTTAGTTGAAAAATTTTGTTTGCAATCAATTCAACCATTAGAATGTATCTCGACTCGACTCGATTCAAACGAACGGACGACAGAAGGGACGAAGAATGAATAAATAAATAAACAAGTGATCGTCATCATCAAACCAAAATCAAACCGAATCGAAGTAATGCAATCAATCAACG